AATTTTTTCCTCAAAACTGCGTAGGAATTCGAAGGTATGTCTCTTCACCTAAAATGCTTGTAATTGACCCCTGTAACTAAATATAATTTTTTTAGAACGATTTGAAATTTTTGAAAAATTTGTCACCTTCCTGAATTTTTTTCTCGAAAATGCGTAGGAATTTAAGGGTATGTTTCTTCATAAAAAATGATTGTAATTGACCCTCGTAACCAAAAATAATTTTTTCAGAATGATTTGAAATTTTTGAATTTCACCGAAAAATTTCTGCACGATTTGAAGTATTCTTGTGCTTTAAAAAAAAAACATCGGTTGAGAAGTCTGTTGTATAATCATATTGCAAACCAACATATATATATATTTATAGATGCAACCGTTACGCAATTCCCTTATATTAAATTAAGTTTCTTACGTAATTTTGTATCGCAGATTAACATGATACCGTTGCAAGTATTACGTACCGCTTGCGTGATGCATGAAGATCAGAAATATATTGCTCGTGTCATGTACTTTGTAAAACTAATTTGCATGAGAAAATGATCTTAACATTCGTTTGTAATAACATTATGAAGTTTATTCGCACAAATATTAACGCAACACTTAAATGAAGTAATACTTATATAAATTAGCCTGTCTCCCAATTAAAAAAAAAATATTAATTCCTAATTGGTACTTCAATACGCATTTCACGGAACGCGAATATTTCATGAAAAATATCAGATGAATCGCACGGATTGCCATTAATGAACAGATTAAAATTGTATAACCATGGATGATATAATTCGTGTCGACAAAAATCTCCGCGACAATTAAGTTCTCAAGGTCACCTATAATTTCATTATACAGGGTGTTCGAACACCCCTGAGAACAATTTTAATGGGAGATTCTAGAGGCTAAAATAAGGCGAAAATCAAGAATACCAATTTGTTGATTGAGGCTTCGTTAAAAAGTTATTAATGTTTAAAGTGCCGCCTGTAGAACGGCAATCTGCGAGCAGCTGCGTGCGCATAATAGTGATCCTCACTCAAAAAACTATAAGGCTGTAGATACGTCACGAAGTAGAGTTTCTCATGCTGGATGAGAACCACTATCGTGCGCACGCAACTGCACGTAGATTGCCGATCTACAGGGACAACTTTAAACATTAATAACTCTTTAACGAAGCCTTAATCAACAAATTGCTATTCTTGATTTTCGTCTTATTTTGGCCTCTAAAATCTCCCACTAAAATTTTTCCCAGGGGTGGCCGTACACCCTGTATACAGCTATTTAAATTTATTTTTACCTCCCTCGAAAAGCTTCTGTCATTCATTCTTATCCTCGCAATTTTCCAGTCAGTGCTCCTCGAGGAACCATCTTCATCTATAGATAAGTTTTATACTTTATAACAGTAAATTCATTTGCTCGAAAATTCGCAAGTATTCTTTCGGTTCGTCGAGCGAGACAGAAACGTTTTAATTTATGCTTTCCGTGAAAACATGAAACCTCTGAATCGAATGATTTTCACAGTTCGTTAAATAAAATATAAATTTGGAGTTATAAATTACAAAATGTTTCAAATGGATAATCCTTCTGATTCGTAAATTTATGCTTTGCATACCGCTTTTATCGATCTTAGTTTAAATTAATAATAAATACAGCGTTGCAAAAAATATACATATAAAGTTTTACTCTAAATATAAATACGAAAGGATGCAGAACAATTCTTTTGTTTCGAAAATGCGAGAGATTTTATGCTCGAGGTCTTTACAAAAAACAGAGGCGTAAAAAACGTAATTTGTCGAGAATATGATCCCTTAATTGCGACCTAATTTTTGTACAAATTAACCCAGCCGCGGGAAAGGGTCTTTCATTTCCTATTAGAAGGAGCTATAAAGAATGCCCCTGAGTGCTGTTCACGACGCGCGAGAAATTCCCCTTTTTGTCCATAAATTGCGGTTTTATGATACTAATACCATTAATCGTTAGCTCGTGCGATACGACATCCTGGAAGTGAAATAATCTGTTTCTAAATTCCCATCGCCAAATCTGAATTATTTCATTGTCGTTGAAACAGAATACTGACTGGGTTTTCGCAATCTTAGCGACTTAAGAGTACTAAGCATCGGAATACCGTGAAGATTTCGAACAAGAAACTTAATTAAAGGTCACTAAATTATGAGACTAACTAACTTTAAGACCTTAACAACGCAAGTCTATCAATATATACGAAACACGTATTATATTACCAATTATTATTATTGGAGGAATGTACAAGTTGAGTAAATTAAAAATAGGTTAGAAAAGTACTTATGGTATGCGAGTATCGCGCCGTTCGTATTGACAGTTCTCTTCAAGAGTGCTTCGTAGTCAAAGGGTTAAACACGTGTTCAACATTCACAATTTACACCAAATACTAAGATTTTCAAATGACAGTGACACATAAGATATTGTTAGAACGATGGGTCGATTTCAAATAAACACTCTCTATGGTTTCACAAGGATTTAAGAGTAATATACACTAGTTTGTAATCATACTACGACGCGACGCGTGACGTTGCGCATGGCTTTTCGAAACGCGGTTCCGGCGACGCAGGAAGAAGCGCGCGATTGGCTCGCGCGTGACCAATAGAAGCGCAGCGCCAAGACCCCAAGTTTCAAACTCTGTCTAATAGACATATCTCGATTAACAGAGTAATACCGAAATAAATGGTCCTGCATTGGATTGGAAAAGGTCGTATTGGTCTAGAAATTCTTCCTCTCGAAAATATAAACACATTTTGTTTATGATGGACTATTTTAGGGATAAAATATAAACTTAAGGGGGTCTTCTACTGTGAAGGCTGTTTTTTTCAGCTTACTTTCGGAATTTTTTTTGAGGAATAATAGAAACACACAAAGATATAACTTTTATATCGAGTGTATTGTTTATTGAACTTTGTCTACAAATTTTTGTAAAGCATAATAATAACAATAATTAGCTTTATAGCACTAGAATGGTGACCATGTATAAAAAATGTTGGCGGATGGCACCCATGATTCACGATTTTTTATTCATCTGAAATTGAAAAATCAAATAGCATTTTAATATGTAGATCTATGGCTATCGTGTGAACTAGAATTAAATAAAAATATTCAAATTTGAACATTTGACAAAGCTTTTAAGGAAAAAAGTCAATTCTTCGTATTTTTTTTCAACCTTTCAAGCTAAAGAACAAGTAATTAGTAAAATATTTCAATTATCCTAGTTCACACGAAAACTAGAGGTGTATGAAAGATGTGTACGAAATTATAGCGAAATCGGTTGAAGACTTTTTGAGATATCGTGGACGCCGCTTCAAAAAAATGCGTTTCGAGAAAAACGCGTTGGAAGTTCAAGTACGTATGACACAAAGATAATTTTACTTACCGTTAATCTGCAATGCCTGGACCATACAGTACACCTTCAGTTTCTTCCTGGAAGTCATGCAGAAGTGAATTTTCTTCTCGGTTTTGAATCCGAGATTTTTTGGCGAAGTCAGACGATTTTCGTTCGAAGCGGTACAGGCGAGCGTTGTCACGGTGCGTAGAATATGTGCAAGAATTGGTGCCAATTTTCAATCCCATTGTTTCCATAATTTTTAATACTCCTTCAAATCCGTCGTTAAAAATAATAACTGCAAAAAAGTAGCTATTTCAACCACCTTAGGCCCAGAATGAATGTGTTTTGGGGCGAATGTCCAAATTAGGGAATTCAATGATTCGTTATTATTTTGGGTCTCAGCTCCCAAGCATCTGATTAATAAATCATGTTTTGATAAATCTTCGTAAACCGGCTTAATTGTTTCTAAAACTTGACTTTTTAAAGAAACTCTATAGTGGTTAAAATTCTTGAGGAGTCCTAAAGCTTCTGCTTTACGCCACTTGCACCAGCTGATTTCACCCTTCGGACAATAATCGTGCAGCGGATTATCATCAGAAGAACTGCAGTGATAAAAAGAAGCCCAAATCTCTCTCTTCATATCATCTATTGAATCAGGATGCCGTCGTATGGCTAAGCCATAGAATTTCGTAAATTCACCAATGACTTTTTCAGTTAGTTTACCGTGTCCTTTTCCACCGACTCCCTTGTGATTTTTTTTAATGTTGCGAAGTCTCGTGCCCATCCTCTTTTCCACATGACCTACGCACTCCTTTTTCACAACTTGTTTTTCATCTGTATACGGATTAGCATTCAAAATACCTTTGAATGTTTTGCTATCTCCGTCTCCAACGTATGTTAGGTACTTTACGCCATGTTTCTCCATAGAACGTAAAAACATTTCAATAATAGCGTCAATTTCCATTTTACCAGAGCTGCCAATATGATTTATGGAACAATCCTTGTGGTTCGATAACCATTCTTCGTGGAATTGGAGTTTTGGAGTTTTCAGTTTCTCGAAATATCAACAATTGTCGCGTACTGCACCGACTAAGCGAACGTTCTTAGAAAGTTCGTGATTGTTCACATATGTAATTATCAATTGTCACAATTGCGTCTGATATGAAAAAAGACTCGGTCGTTCATAAGCAGAAATCATAATAGACACTAGTACATGCCCGAAGAATGACATAATATTGAGGAGGAAAGCGCGACAGCACCCGCCACCAGCGCGCTCCGAACACCTATTTCGTTCTACGCCTACAACTTCTGAACGGTATCGAATCTCAAAAAATCCATTTAGCCTCGTATTCTACATGAGTTTTAGATGTAATTCATGTAAAAAAAAAAAAATGAATTTTTTCGATCCGACACTGTAGAAGACCCCCTTAAGTAGAAATAGTCAGTGATGGTCAGACGCCCGACGAATTTTCCACATTGACGTTTTCAAAAATTTATTCTTCGTTTTCGATTTATTTTTGTACGAAGAATCGCCATATGGTCGATCGTACCACTCGCCCCCCTCCGTCGTATAGGGATTCGAGGCGACAAGAGGTAAAGATTTCAAGATTTTCTCTGATAATTCGAGGACAGTTGTTAGAGAAAATTCCTGTCGATGTTCCAGGGATTCCCCAATGGCGTCGTCGTCGTCGTTCGTTGGTCGACGTTTCGGAGGATGGCGAGCCGGCGGAAGTCACGAATATGTTCGATGTCCTGTACGACAACCAGCTTCCATGGACGAGCGGTAAGGAAATCCTTTTACGCTTTGCTCCGAATACATGAATTATTCCGCGCAGGTAGAGTGACATCATTCCGACGAAACGATCGAGAGAAAGAATTTTGCTTCTTTAAAAGTCGTCGAACTCGAACGTAACGGAAATATAATTTTCCATTAACGTTTTATCACCGATCACTACGGCACAAATTTAACCGTTTAAAAGCAATGTTGCACGAAACGAAAAATAGTCCACGATACCAAAAACATTGTGCACACCAGCCGTTTATTATCGCATATTATCATTCGAACCATCGTAACAGTTCCCTCTAGACTCGTTATCGCTTGTTTAATCTTCTTCCTATTACACTTTCCCAAATGAGTTTCGTGCCGTTCGAACAAACACATAATTATGATCATTCGAAGTCGTTAATGCAAATTTATGCACTATATGATCGTCGATGTTTCGTTGGCCATTATTTCGATACCTTTATCTTCGATTTCCGTTCCCTCCCGCGACTTTTCTGGGAGAAACACGCTACAGTGGATGATCAAATTATTATTACATTTTATATTTTCGATGTTGCGTAGCGTTAGTGATCTATTAATTTGTTTTTCTCGATTATGTCGAGTAGAGTAGTTTTGTAGTTATGCGATTATATTTTAAAAAATTTTAAGTAATTCGTACAAGTTCTAAGATGCGTTATTGCATATTAAGAATATAACTGTAACTTTTTTTTAATGAAAAGGTTTGCAAGTGCACTTAAAATTCAAAGTGACCATAAAACTTTGATCACCCACCGTAATTTAACGAATCTCTGTTTACGACCAAACGTTAACGCAAGTATTACACGGGTAATTGTATGCAACCGTCAAACAGTGAATACATTTATCGAGACATTCGAATATTTTAATATTAAATATTTGCTTGTACAGATTCATGTTCTTCTCTATTTAACGGTAATGTCCCAGTTAAGCTTAGAAAATCAATCTTGTTCTAAAGCGGTAAAGAAAATTGGGTTGCAGAGGATTGCGTCCATTGCCATGTAAAAAAGAACTTGTTGACCTACATAAATACTATACAAAGTGTACCGCGCAACTGGGACAGACTGTGTCTTTGAAACCGTCGAAGATAAAGAGAAAAATTACGTGACAAAAGTAAATCGTTTCCGATGCTTCGTACTCCTACGTTACTATTCTCCAAGTACGTGCACGCCCGATATTTGGAAAGTGCAATTGCACTCGTTTCCTTGCAAGGATTTCCATATTTTCCATTACCACCAACCGACGCAGTTCTGCACTCTGTGCAAGAAAATATACGATACGAAAAATGTATAAAACGAATGTAGAAAATGTTAAGTATTTAAATTTTCAGTTCACGACACGTTTGAAAGGGTAATTACGCGCGATTATGTTGATAATCACCGTACCACTTCAGATGCTTTTTAGTTTCTATGGACGATTATCTGAATACCTTTTTATAGAGAATAAATATCTGCATCGATTGGTGTAATGAAAAGTATCGAGGTCGAGGGGAAGAATAATTAGAAGTTGGTAAAAAATAAGTTTTCTCGATTCTTTCGGCTAAATAAAATTCTCATGTCAATATGCACGTGTCTAGGGATATGCAATTAGCAACTTTATAATTACGTAGTCTGTTATATCCTGCAACGATAAATATAGAGTTCCCTTGAGAGTCGAAAGATAAACAACACATTGGTTTTTTTTTTTTTAGAAAACTATACGAAGCTTATGGCAACAATAAATAATTAAAAGTTTATTTTTTCAGCTACAAAAAGCTATTTCAAAATTCGTTTTAAAATTTGTATTCATAATTAAGGGAGTGTCACGTGTTCTCAGTTAATTGGCAAAATTGCTTAATTTGAACTGCAACCTGTTGCCTGCATACAAACCAGTTCGCTTGTGACGCAAACATAAATAACTAAAAACAAACTCTTCGTTAATTTTGCTTTTCTGCCTCGATCAAACCATATTTTCTAAACAGCAAATAACTAAAATATTACTCTTTTTCCTATCAGGACTCAGTCGCCATCTTGTATACACAGATTGCAACAGTAAGAAACTCAAGAAAAAATAGATGCTAACTGTTTTAAATATTCGTTAATTTTTTTTAAGAAAAACCACTGATTCGATAGGGAAAACCAGTTGTTTCTCTTGTTTCTGCTTATTTATTTTCCATATAAGTTCGAAAGTATGTAAAATTGACTTCCACTATGGAACTAGAAAAATTAAGTCTCAAGTTAACATGTTGAGGCAAATAAAGGATAGGATTTGTGAATTTCAGCAAGGTTACAAGAAACAAATTTTAAGTTATGTAGTTTACAATGATCTAGAATCGAAATTATAGTCTTGCAGAAAATTGTACGGTCTTCACCTGGCAGTGAACGTGTTAAGTGCTGTTCTAAAGACTTGGTAGCAATGGGCTTCGCGTAACGAGGCTGTTGGCCTATAACGAGAATGATCCGAAAATCCCATAAGCGGGTTATCTACCCCCTGGTGCTCCACACCGGGTGCCACGACTCAGAATTATCAGCCCTCTCAAGGTTCCCCATATCACCGAGGTTGGGTACAATTTGCCTGTGCTAATATTTCCTCTTGTATCTCTTTATCGTGGTCAGATTTTTGCAACACTATCAGGTCTTTGACCAGTTTTTCCCACTCTTTCGTACCCTGTACCGATCTCATTCAGGATCCAGAAGGCTAAGGCTGAGTAAATTTGACCAGAATGAGCCCTCCAATTTCCGGTGTAAGAAAACATCAGATTGATAAGGGGTGTTAGACCTGTCGAAAGCCAGGAAGTCCTACTCCAGCCTCGTACATATCACTCAAACACTTCCTTTATCTCACAAGTTGATAAGGTAGGGCCTTTTTTCTTTTTTTTTACGTGGGGAAATCCTCATGAACACCCACAGGCCCACCCGAAGGAAGGGCTGGCGGGTAGTGCCGGACTCTTACCGACTAAAACCCCATGGTGACCATCCTCAGACGCCTGGCGAGGGACCAGGAACTCTAGTGAGCCATCACAGAGTCCCCCGCTGCGCCCTGCCTTTTCAGGCCCCTCCCGGTGGGAGGCACTCCTCCCACCGCATTCCCACTCAACCACGGCCCCGTAACATGGGACTAAGCTGCGTGATCACGTTGGCTGCAGGACTCATCCGCAGCCAACTGGCCAACCTGCTGCCTTAGCTAAAACCTACGACAAATATCCCATGCCTCAGTCCACTCACACACACATTCATACCGGTGTTTGATCCGCGAAAGCTTTCACTCCGACCACCAGCCTTCTCAGGTTGATGAACTCATCCCAGCGGCTGCTCCTATCCGCCACCTGGGGACGCGCCACGTAGGGGTTCACCTCCCCTGCATGGTGATAAGGTAGGGCCACTAATGCCTTACTAATGAGCCCACTAGTAGGCCCAGGACGAAATGTGATGGCGCCTCCTCTTTCCTGTTTTTAAGGAAGGTTAGGATTAAGTAACATGCTGCCACGGCACTCCGGTGTTAGGGATAATCCGTGATTCCGTTTAAGGATATTGATTTGATTGATCATTAAGTCATAGTATTTACTGAAATCCGCAGGTGTTATCGGCGATCTTACGATATCGACGCTCGTCTACCCCGTTATTTCCACTATCATCGACGCGCCGGGATCGAACGACACTCGAAAAGCTGCGACTACGCGAGACGCACGCCCGAGTCGAGCACCGACGTTCAACATTTTGGTCTGCCCATTCTCAGCATCAGCGAGCCCAGCCCGTCGGACGAAAACAACCGGGTGGACGATTATTTGTAGGACTTGCCTGCCGAGGACTCCCTGAAGGAGCTCCTCGTGTGACCCAACATGATCACTCTGTTACTTCGCGTGATCCCGAAGCTTCGCGTATACGCCGCAGTTTTAAGGTAAACTCTCGAAGCAAGGACTCTTTCGATCGTGTCGGCAAGGAAAACGCAACGTTCTCGGTGACGCGATCTCGTTGTTTCGGGGCGGTGATTCCCTTGTCTGATCGCGACGAGTGCGCGGGAAGAAATTCACCGTCATGCACGGCGTTTACATACTTCGTGAAACTCACTGTGGACGACTTTGAGGAAAGATTTTTAATTTTACATTTGTACGTACACGTAGAAGATATCCCCGGTCGTACGATGGTGCGTTTGTGAACGGAAACTTTCTGTTATAACGCGCTGTAACATCGATCAAAATCGATAGTAAAGTTGTCGATTGTGTAACGTGTATTCGCGGCGCTATCGATTGCCACCGATAATATTCATATCTTGTGTACAAATTCGAAGCGAGATTGATCGACCCGCAAACAGTGTGTAATTACGCCACGAACGTAAAATTTCATTTTGTACGAATTGTGACATATCCAAAATCTCGTTCGAGAGATAAATATTACAAAGATCACCAAATAAATGCATACGAAAAATTACAATCCCGCTTCGAATCGACAGATTAGAAGAAACTACTTACGACGAATAACGATTGAAAATACCACGAGTGACGTGATACGATTAATCGTGTAATGTCAATTGTGCAGACGTTTAACGTACGAAGTTCCGGTTTAAAGAGGACGCTCTAAATATCCTTCGTCTCCTTTGACTCGAGCAGGTTATATTTATTCCAAAATATCCCGTTCTACGATGTAATGGATGTTTCGTGTGATTTGTAAAGACCACGTGTGTCCCGGTGTACGCTGTTCTGTGTCTCTCCTTTTCCTTTTCATGCTTCCGTGCGACATTGTTAACCGGCAATCGATGGAAAACTACTCAAATACAGCGCGAAAACACTGTTGGATACTGTAATCACTGTAACAGGCATTTTTAACGCGATCGTAAATATCTTTGCGATCAGACTTTGCGTTAACTTTCTACCGAACGAAATTACGCGTCCATTTTGTATTCGTCGCGTGTTCCGTACTCGATCAAAGCTGTTAGAATTGTTTACGTTCGCGGGATTATTATTTAAATAACATTACGTATCGCTAAAGAGCTAGTTTTCAACGATAGGTGGGATTATAAGAGAAAAGTGGCTTATCGAAGACACGGACAATTTGGCAACACGCGAAACGCTATAACGCGACGTCGTGTTGGTCGTCGGGCATACTACACAATGATGACTTGATGGCTAGGCACGCCGATTGGCCGTAGCGTAATAGCGACGTTTGCTCTCACACGCATTGTCATTATTGGCTGAGTCGCTCACGACTGCAATTCCATCGCGTGACAAATGACGCGAACGAAACGTATAGGGGCAGAGTCGGATAGGACAAGACTGAGAGGAATTGGCGTAACCGTACGCTCGATATACTAGCCATGAATAGAACAAATGTGTATCTCTCGTGGTTATGGAGATCCTACTACTATGTGGGAATAAGACGGCGCGTAAACCTCTCCTTGCCCTTGCCCCGTTTAGTTTGTGGGTGCCTAGCCAACAAGTCAACTCTGGATAGTAGATGACGCGACTAATAGAAAAGAATCACGATGAAAGCTTTACGCGTGACCAGGGACTGATTTAAGCGCAGTGTATATAAAAGATAGACAAAGAATACTATCAAATAATATATTTTTTAGTTTATTGAAAGAGTATATTAAAATTAGAAAATGAAAGAGAACGTTTCATTCTCTCAATTTTTATAATAAAAGGAAATATATCATTTGAGGACTAGTTTGGTAAAAGAAACGCTTTTAATATCTCTCTGCTTACTTTGCAGATCAATTAACGCCAAGAAATAAACATTATCGAGAAGAATATCAATTACTAGACTGTGAGAAATTCACCGTTGCGTTTAATTCGATGATTTCAGCCAAATTATTTAAATATTTCTATAATCACTGAATTACGTTTTGAAGAATTAGTATCGAATTCTGCGAACACAGCGTGGACAGTTTGAACAGGAAATTTGAAATAATGCGTAAATTAAAACACGTTCCCTATCAAACATGACACTCCATATTATACCCAGTCGTGTAGTTTAAGGAAACTGTTTTTTATCGATGCTCAAACGCAAAGATCGACCAAAGTCAATATTACACATCCTGTTAGACGACGCAGTAACGACTTCGAATAAATTCTTATGTGAATCGTCCTTCCGTTTGATAAATTTTTAGCAACGAAAGTAACCCTCCTATAACACGGTAGATGGGTTCCTAGAAAATGTCGTGTTGTGTGAAACCGTGTTATATGAGATCCAGAGCCAATATACAAAGGGGAGTTACGATCCGAAAACTTATTAAAAACAAATTTTTTTTTTAATTCTACGTAAGCAACTTAATTTTTATGAAAAATATAAATGTACGTATAACACAAAACAAAAAATATTATTTTAATTTAAAGCAATCTTAATTTAATAAACTATAATTTGTTTATACAGGGTGCTCGGCCACGCCTGGAAAAAATTTTAATGGGAGATTTTAGAGGCCAAAATAAAACGAAAATCAAGAATAGTAATTTGTTGATGGAGGCTTCGTTAAAAAGTTATTAACGTTTAAAGTTCCACCCGTACTGAATTTTTTTCTCAAAAGTGGGTAGGATTTCGAGAGTATGTTTAATGACCAAAAATGATTATAGTTGACCCCTGCAACCGAAAATAATTTTTCCAAAACGATTTAAAATTTTTTTTCCGCCGAAAAATTTGGGCATCTATTCGAATTTTTTCCTCGAAACTGTATAGGATTTCGGGGGTATGTCTATTCACCAAAAATGATTGTAATTGACCACCTTAGCTAAAAATAATTTTTCCAGAACGATTTGAAATTTTTCTTTTTGTCGAAAAAAAAAAATTCATTTTTCATTTTTAATATATTTGTTTGACGCTCTACAGAAAAATTGTCTAATACTTTTTTGTAGATACCCATGAGCTCTACTTCCGACAAAAGTTTCATTGAGATATATTCACTATTGTAGGAGTTATGGCTGTTTGAAAATTGGACCATTTTTATAGAGTTTTTCTAACTTGACGGTGTCAAGGAACAATTTTTTCAATATTATTAGAATTTCTGCATATTCTCCACTAAAATACGCGTTGTTTGCATTTTGAAAAATTAAAATCCTCCAATCCGTTCAAGAGTTATGACATTTTATAGATTCACATGAAATTTCAGGGAAGCATTTTTGGCCTCACATTAGATTTTCGCTAAGGAATTTTTTTCTCGAAAATGGGTAGGATTTCGGGGTTGTGTGTAATGACCAAAAATGATTGTAGCCAACCCTTGCAACCGAAAATAATTTTTTTAGAATGGTTTGAAATTTTTTAATTTAATTTTTTAATAACTTTTTAACGAAGCCTCAGTCAAGAAATTGACATTCTTGATTTTCGTCTTATTTTGGTCTCTAGAATCTACCGTTAAAATTTAAAGCCACTATAGTTCATTATTCCTTCGTGTCATTAGTGTAAGGTAATTCAGTTTTTAAATATGTTAAGCAAAAATCATGTTATCCAGTGCTGTAGAAGTGCAGTGTTATAGGATGCCGTGTTGTAGGAGGGCTACCTGTACATTAAACGTGCTAATTCTCAAACTCTCTTTTCCGAAATCTCTGATCGTTACATTTATAATACATTTTTTCTATTACATTTAATTTCTTAATCAAGAAATTTATCTTAATGTACAAACTTTATTAACGATTTTCGTTGTATTAATCTTTTTAAGCACGTGCAGTTACGCGTTCATTAAACTTCCATAAACTTTAAACGTATTTTCTCTCTAACTTCGTTCAAAAATTTACAGCATTATTTTATTGATGTCTAAGATTATATCTAAGAACGAAGAGAGAGTTTGGGATTCGTGTGATCATTGTCACTTATCAGGGCTCATTATTACGTGGGAACAATAGATTGTGAAATATGTGCGACAGATTCAATTACTTAACCGTGTTAGATTGGACATTGAAAGTTTCAAGGTCGACTCAATTTATCGATATTATTTAACACGGAATATTTTATTATTCATCATCAATTCTGTGACGTGTTTTTGGACCAATCAGTATGATAAAACAGGGGCCATGACTTCGTCGTCCCTACATTGAATCTTTCCAATATTGAAACATTTATAAGTATGTATATAACATATATATATAATATATATAATCATAATTATATATATGTACATATGTATGCGTTCATAGATATACATATATACATATGTGTAATCAGAATAGAATTTTGTTACATCGATGATAAACTAGCGTGCTTTATACTTTCTTCAGACCTATCGGAAATTCAGTTTAATTCTATTATACGTTGTTTACACGCAAACTATAATTTCATGTACAGTTTATCAATTAATTAATTCCGTTTCGTTCCATTTCCAGAAAACAGTACGACAACTCTCAAATTTTGGGGACCAAATAAATAATTATAAAGATACAGAGATGAATTTAATTAGTCTCATTCCTGAATATTTTTTAAACCATTCTAGAGTAATCATCCGAAATACTCTTCCTTGTAAAATTTCATTACCACACTCGTAATTAGAACGATATATAAAAGGAACGATATTGGTATCATAAAATCGATTGCATTCACGCCTTTATTTATACGCTATTTTGCTTAAACGATAAATTACGTAAATGCACTCTCAAACAGCTTACATACATATATACTAAAATGTCATAAATTGTATATTACGTACAATGTATTTAATTAGTAATAATACCATTAACGTTCAATTAAATTCTTAATTCCTTCTGAAAACGTGTGACTGTTAACGATTGTAATGCTTGTCAAGTGAAAATAGGAAGGACTACGATACGTATAAATTCTTAGCCGTCAAATCTTCTGTAAATATTTTGAACGTGAAACTAAAAATGATCGTCTACATATTTCATTAAACTAAACAATTATAAACCGAATAGAAGACGCGTCAGGTTGTGTGTACCTTTTTATTTTCATCGATTCCTATTTCCACTTTACGTTCACAACGATAATTTCAATTCCGTATTGTTAATAAAATCGTGCATTTAAAAAATTCGTTCAGCTTCTCTGTTACAAAGTGTCCAACCACGAATACTGTCGCACGTATTATTCCAACCTAAGTATATACTAGTACTTACACGACGTACGTATCTATAGAAATCACATTATAGTATCTATAAAAGCAAATCGATAATGTAAACCTTAGCTCTTACGATCACCATGATTCTCGTATGTACATTCACATTGTTTCGCTCATTGATCTATTCGCGAGCTTCGACGCTATGCTCGTGCATAACTATACGTTCCTCCCGAGGCATTTGTGTAAATATTCATAAAGAAAACGTGTCAAGTGACGATAAAAAATCAGAGCGCGAACAATTTTCCCAATTTTATTGTAATTTTAACGGGGTTTAACGACAACGGCACTGGCTTAATTATTTGCTCGGTAGAGAGTCTTGAGATATATGTTCAATCCTTCGAGTATGATGTTCGTGCGACCGATTATATCAATTTAAAGCGATAATAGACGAATTAAGATTACGAAAGAAGGATAGAAGGAGTTTAATAAGAAAAAAAAAATACACATCTATTTTTAGTAGTACAGTTATTAATTATATATTACGAAGAAACGAAATAAAATACATTTATTCAGACACGTGCTTAGCTGTACCGTCGATAATGTAAGAGAAATGGGTGTTGCTTAAATTTACGTAGGGTAATTTGTTATAATAACAGGGTAAATGTTAGAGAGCGTACATTTTAATTATACAAACTATCGTTGAAACGTTTAATATCTTATTTCCGACGTTCGATTAAGGGATCATAAAATCGCCGAAGTTGGAGAATGGATACGAGGTTTAAGAGCTATCGAGCAGAAAATTAAGCAGCATGTATAAAATTTTGGAAAGTAGCGAGTAACGGTCAATGAAGACTTATATGCATATATGTATGTACCTATAAGCATCCCTTATACTCGTACGTAAAATCGTAGTGAAGGTTTAATCAATAAAGTAATATGCGATAATATTATTTTTATTCTCAGATTGTACAGAAACATCAAATCTCTGCGAAGGAATGCTTAAACGCGTGTTGTGTTATTGTGCAGGGTATCACGCTGAAAACAGACCACCTTACTATATTTGCTATTTTATTATAATATAAAGCTTACGTTGCTTGCAAAAGTTCCACAGCTTCGAGAAAAAAAGAAGTAAAATTACAATTTTCAAATTTAATCTTAAATAAATTACGTCCTTAAATACTCTGTAGTTCGAATTTAGGTATTCTATAAACTATACGTCAAAGACGAAATTGTCTAAAAGTTACAATTTTATTTATGCAAATATAGAAATATAATTTTTGCGAGCAACGTTTATTTTTGTTACGTAAGATAGAGAAAGTATCGAGATGGTTTCTTTTTAACGGAAGACCCTGTATAGTAATGCGAGGCTCATGCTGAAATCCATTTGCCGACAGGCCAAGAACCTTATTTAATTAATCACTTTGATTAATTCGTAGATACAACGAATCACGAAGAGGCAACGATGTATCATAATTCGATTTTTGGTAATTTTATGTAAAATTCTATCAAGGTTACATGCATTTTAAAATGATTAGTAATTAATTAATTATACAGCGATTGCGTAAGATTATATTACATATCGTTTAATATTATACAATATGTCGAAAATTGCAATTTCAATTCGTATTTTAACGGACGTTATTTGCCAAAGAGCATCTTTTGTATCCGATATTTAATTCAATTGATATATCATATACACTATTATCGACGTTTTAATAAAAGTAATTTAAAAATATAGTTCTTATAACGAAGGAGAATAAATTCAGGAGTGCTTTGAAACTATATCACCGCTAAACAATTGGCATTAGCTTTTTATAAAATGATACTCGTCCGCTATTATTTTCACGTAAAATTCGAATCAATAGCGAGCAATCATTGTTGTATTTTATATCCATCTTTAATTGTACAAATTAACGTAATATCTCGCGCACAACATGTCCAAAAAACTTATACAACGAAAATATGCATTGCAACCTCTACAAATAACGGTTAACGGTCAAACATTCGCCAACTGTAAATAACGAGCACACGATTCTTGGGTTAAAAATAGATAGCAGCATGAGGCTTGTAAAAAATCGAGGCAAAATTTTAGCTGCAATGTTTTAATAATCATAGCTTTAATAAAGAGACCAAATATGTAAAGAATTCGTATTCTCATAGAAGGGGCCCAGTCTTGAGCGAGATCGAATTATGCAATTTTTGCAAGGAAACATGGCAGAGACGTGATTCAAAGCGACTGTAGTACTCCTGTATATACATATACATATGTACGTGTACTAATTACAATTTTAATCATGTTGATTTGAGACAGATCAGTGCTGTATTAAACCATTATTTGATCGACGACACTCGTAACGGGTTGAGAAAATTTTCTATTTGTTATTTGCAAATTCACGTGGGACAATGAACCAGAGATAAAGTGTATGAACAACGTGTTAGCGCGAAAGATGTTTGCGAATGTTTATACGTACGGCGATGATCTAGAAGATCGCTAATCAAAAAAACAAATCTTTGTTGCGAAATATGCATCAGTAAAATTTACCTGTTTCGGTTGTATTAATGCAAGTAAATATTAAGATACTGAAAAAAGTTCTATCGTTTCGCTCGAGCGCCAATAAATGGCACCTGTATCATTGTGGAATTAATTTTAAATAAAGTTTACAATCATTTGTTATTTCCTCAGTAAAATTTATCTACTTTCATGTTTAGATCATTTTAATATTTGAATGACAAGTTTAAAGTGGATCAGATTCTTTAAAGACACTTAAAATATGTTATAAATTTTGTGTACAAATTTTAAAATGCCATTCGAAAAGATCAGAACTTTTTACAGAACTTAATATATCATTTACTATTTATTAAGAAGCGACGAAACAAACATAATAATTATATTATAAAAAGGTCTGTAGAAATCGAAGATAATCTTTAATATGTTATGGCAAGATGAACATCTTTAATAAAACGATAAAGAAAGCTTTCGTTTCTCAAATTAGATTAAAAAAGATAAAAATAAGTTTGCATAAACGAATCAAATTAAACAAGCTTCGACCCTTTCATACGTTTTCAATTAGTAGCCAAGTAAAGATATTTGCAGTGCTATTATTTTTTTAACCAAATTCTGTAATATTATCATAATGAACATTCTTGCTATGGTTAAAACGAAAACACCAAGATTCTAATATAATTTTAATAAGCAATTTAAAAAGATGACAAAATTCATGTTATCATATCATTATTTAAATAATTTTGAAAAACATGTTTGAAGAATATAAAATTTATACAATTGATATCACGTAGATGTAAAAGAAAAACATTGAAAGGGTTACAACAGCTTGAAGAATATATTATTCTGCAATTTATTCAGACCAAATGATGAATATTTCAAATATTAATGGAAGATAGTTCTTCGCGTTGTTCGAAGGCTTTTAATCTGAAAACATATCCAGTCCAATTCACATTTGGACGACGAATAAATTAAAAAACATACTACAGCCAATTGTGACATAACCTCGTACGTAAAAAGGAGAGAATATTACACGAACATTACTGCATTGAAGTATATACAAACACACAGAAGGCAAAAAATCTATTCACCCTTTAAATCTTTGTAATTAATTTCTCCTCTTGTAAACAGCTCCGACGAAACCACTCTTTTTATCCAATAAATTCTGTCTTGCATATTGTAATTATTTGATTTATGGTAATCGAAAATAAAAAATTAAAGAAAATATAAATATATTTATAAATATCAATCTCAATTGTTCTTATTCATGTCCTTATGCTTGTTTTTAGAATACCATCAGACTCTGTAAGTATAATTATTACATAAACATTTCAATTATTGTTTCATCGTCCGCAAAGTGATCAAAATAATTAATATACATGGATTAGGATAATTATATCATTTATTTGACGTACGGTTACATAATAGTATAAAATTATCTTTCTAAGTTAAAACTGTATAATATTTTTGCATAAACTATTTACAAATTACACGTGCCACATAAATTGTCACAGATCACATCCAGAACCAAGAATCAAATAAAAATGTAGTAAACATTTGAATTTATTAATTAGTATATTTAGATATGTCTTTAATGTATTTCATTTTGCAGGAACAAATTACGAAGGAAATATAAAAAAAAAAAGCTGAAAAGAATACACTTGTGGAAACTATGCATAATTTCGCAAAAGAAGTGAAATAATAATAAAAGAGGAATTATTTCACATTCACTCTTCTCACTCGCTCGAAATATTTCCGACATTAAATTCACATCTAAATATTCTCATGAATGCAATAAAATGTCTACTTTTAATTATTCCATTTTTTTTAATCTACGGAATTTACCCTACGTATGTGTTTTAAAGATACATATAACGGTATGTATTTATAAAAGGATGAAATCAATCTTCAAAAATACAAGTATCTGTGTATACGACCTCAGAGTAACACGGGGTTATAAAGGGTTAATCATTGTTACATATACATATATGTATATTACACAGGCAATGACCTAGTATCCACTTCAAAATTTTACTCCTAAGAATCGTATTTGTGATCGTGTGAACTTTAAAAAATACTTCTCCCTTATTTTTTACTACGTTCTAGATCTGTAGAATTTAATTAAAATCATCGTCGAATACTTAGGGGATGTTCATTGTAATAGTGGTAAATTTATTCATTTACGTGTACAAATCGTGTGAAAGAAATTGCTAATAATACCTTTACATATACTAGTACTTTCGCAAACTGATACATTAATACCTCTATTCTATAAAGACTACCCAGAAATGTATGTATAATTAACATCAATGTAAGCAAAGCCGAGCTAAGGTTATTAACCCTCCTGGAACTTTGAATTAATTTAGGCGCAATTTTCTAACTAAAATTATACGAATTAAACAATAATGAACATAATATAATGACATTTTATTGCATAAAAATATTACACAAATTATTTGATAAACCAAAGCGTTGTCTTTTTAAAGATTCACTTGAATTGCCTTTAAGCTAGGAAGCTCATTAATAAGGTTAGCAGTTCATATAAAAAGGCTACACACAACCAAGCTTTTCTACAGATTAGTTGTACATTTCCGTAAAGATGCGTAATTTTGTTACGCGACAGAGTAAGAAACAAACTTTCAAGAGGGAGAAAAGAACTTCAATGCCAAGGAATATATAGCTCATATTGATTACTTCGATAGATAATAAATTATTTACGCAACTACACGATTTTACTTGTCATTGTATTACAGCGTTACCTTTAGCAACGCAAGGTTAGGAATCTAAGGTCGTACGATTCGATTAATTATCGAACTATTTCTTTTTTATCTCTGTATACAATTTGTTAACATAATTTCTCTGTGATTGTATGTAAAAAGTACATTTAATTATGAGGAATATACATAAAATGTTTTGAAAGCTTCAATTTATTTTCTGTATATTTAAAAGAAATCGTAAAAAATGCAAATGTAAAAAGATCAATAACATTCATATTAAAAATTTTTGAATAAATATTACTATTAATTTATATATATTTATATACAATTTTTTCTTGTACAGATTGTTTATACAGTTGCTGTTTTAGACATCAATAACATGCTTTACACTATTATGTAAAATTGTAACTTAGAAAGAAATCTGAATTTCATAAATTATATGAATTTTTGTACCAGATCGTCATTTGTACATTAAGTTAGCATGTTAATCGAACATGTAGGACACTTTTATCACTTTCTACATCCATTGCTCGCTAAAACATACTATAAAAATGTGTAAAGACTGGAAACAAGCATCCCTTGCTGTATTGTTTCTATGACAATTATATAAAGCTAGTACGAATTATTTTGATATTTTAGTTTTATGAATTTACCATACTTTTATTATTACAGTTGAAACTACTGTGTGAAGAAATCAAAGAACAACGTACAATTAATTATTGTTAAAATGAGATATAACATTGACATAAAAATAGATATTGCTTCATACAGTTAACTCAAATTTGCAATTAAAATCATATACATTTGCACTTGAGTAATAATTACTTAATTCTACATTCATATATGTGATACCAGAGGCATAACTAAGGCCCAACTATCAACTTTACTATGCAGGCCTTAGAATTGATGATTATGCCACGTATTTACATATACATGTGATACAATATTAATACATAATTGTTGATTTTCCATATATTTTTATGCTGTCATGATAAAAGGAGTATATATATATACATATATATACACTCCTCTATATACAGTAGTCCCCACATAAGTGACCACGCTCGGGACCGGCTGCGGTCATTTATGTGGACATGGTTACTTCTCAGAATTCAACGGAGATAAGGAAATAGGATAAGTGCGAGTGAGATACAATAGTTGGCACCCGAAACCATATACATATTACGCTCGACACGCTCGATGTTCAAAGCCGCTTGGCTTCTAAGAATTAGCGGGGATAACCGCGGACATTTAAGTGGGCAAAAATGCGATCACTTATGTGGGCACTACTGTATATAGACATATAGATTAAGGGGCTAAAATTAATAATGGACGTTCAATAATGTTTATAAACCTTGCCTTACATAATTACTAAGGACTTGGATGAAGCAAATTTAAATTTTATTCCGCCTACAGCATTTTAGCTAGATCTGGAACGCTTAATATCTATTGGTGAGAAATTGGTGTTCACTGTTCCCTTGTATTCTGACATACATACTTTTTTTTTTTAGTACATATTAACGAATTGCACATATACAACTCCTTCCATGTAAACTACGTTTACTTCTCACAGCCTCATTGTGAAAATATAATTTGAAAGATAATTTTAATACATTGTATCTTGCATATGTATTAGATATGCTTCTGCAATAGAGCCACCTTCGTAAAGGAAAACTGCATTGCTAAAAATTTCATTACCTCTTTCATCCATATGCTAGAACATTACTCCAAAAAAATCTAACATAAACGTTTAATTAATTTTTCGCAATACCTATGTACAAGTGAGAATCTATATGTACAACGTATAATATACTGGTGTATCATATTTGGGAAGTAATTATGTTTCTAAACAGTGAACTTAGTTCTTTGTCACTGTTATATAAGTTCTTGAATCAAGCTTGTCTGTGAACCACAAAACTGATGGATATTACTTTCCTCGTAACTGTCATTGCAAGCACTGTCATCATTACTGCAAATGCTTTCATTTTTTGAATCTTGACTGAACCTTACATTACCAAATTTTGAATTTATTGAGCTTTCTGTTCGTGATATATCACTAATATCTGTATCATCCAACCCCAATGTTAGATCTAAGGAGGATTCATTTTTGGATTCTTGACTAAGACAAGAATCATTTAAATCTGTTACAGATTTATTTTCAGAATCAGTGTTAGAATCTCTGTAAATAGATTGCGGGGAAAGCGACTGTTCAATTTTAGGCAATTTTTCCCCATTTGTTTCTTCAGATTTATTTAACTTTTTTATTAATTCTGCCCAAGGATCTTCCAAAAATGATTTCATATCTATGTACCTCGATATGTCAATCTGTTTGCGCGCATCCTTTTGGTAACCCTGGATATGAAGAAACACATTCGACACCACCCATTAAGACAAGGTATCAGAGCTAAGGGTACGATTAAACTATTGCAAATTCTGTTTAAAATTACCTTTTTTTGACCATAAAATTGTTTACCAAAATTCTTATAAGGAGAGTACGAATTATTGAAATTTGATTTTGGGGTTGCATGATAATTGTTCCTGTAATGGTTAAATCCACCGCTACCTGAACTACGATGATTACGACTACCTCCGGAACCATGCCAATTACCATTGAGCCTCTTTTGTTCCGGCTCTGGTGTAGTCATACCCAAAGGAATAAAGTCGTTTCCAGAATTTACTTGATTTCCATTTGTTGAAATACACTGATAACTATCACTTGTAACGTAGTTATAACCTGTCCTATTTTTATGATCGCGTGACTTCCAATTATAACTTTGTTTTCCCCTGCTACCGCTTGGCGTACTTAAAGGAGACTTTTTCATTTTAAAATTGTTGTTTACACTACTTTTTTCTTAATATGTTGTACAGATATTTACAAGTAATGTTGCCTATAAAACAAAATACTAAAATGACGCCATATTATTTATCTTAACACGACCACTCGATATCTCGAAACAGTGGCGTCCATCGTATATCGATATGTCGATGTTTCTAAACTCGATATAGACGCGACTCTTAGCATTTAAATATAACTAACTTTCTTTCGAGTATAAAACTATACCTCAAATGTCTTTGTTACTTCGTTTTCAGATAAAATTATCTCTATGTAATGAATTTGGGAATGAACTTGTATAAATTCAATTGTACTTGCATGTTTCGAGAAACAGCCTCTTCTACACACGGCCCTGTCAATGTCACATGATTTTGTTTGAATTTTCTTCATCGTCCACAAAACGAATTATCGTCGAGATTCGCGTGATATATATGCGGAACAGTATAGTGACAGTTTAATTAAAATCTATTCAGTAGATTTTGAATTTACTTCGTACAAACACACAAGGAAACAAATAAACGCATAGACAGAAATTCTAAAAATGTGTAGTTTGGTTTAGATAATCCATAAACTATACCTCTATAGACTCGTGAATAAAATTTGCCCATCAAATTTTTATTTTGAGCCGCGATCATTTCGACGATAGTTTCACACCGCACTATGCAAAGAATGTGCTTCCATCTGCGATGCAACAGTTTCATGGCTGCCAACCTCGCATAATACAGTTCTATTTGAAACTTTCACTCGGTCATACAGGTGGCGTTAAGTTAGATATTGACCACGCATGTGTAATGGCGCTGGTGCGTTGCAGAGTAGCGAGGCTATCGCAGATGCAACGAACGCTTCGTCTAGTGTGGGTAGTGGAGTTTACATCGTGCTTTGGTCGCGCACGTTTGCGAGAGTTTGCGTCCACAATGGACGGCTTGGTACCTGTTGCACGGCTCGGCGCGTACCGGTCCCAGTCGTTCGGTTATCGACGTTTGTCGTAATAGAAAAGTGATCTGTATTCCGGCGAGGATGAACTGTCGCGATCGTCATTGTTGACGTTTCTCGTGGTGTGACAGTGGTGGCAGCCACCGCTGCCGTGTGTCACAATTTTTCCGCGCGAACACAACGCAGGATACGTTAGCCGCAATTGAAATAATGGGGATCGTGCAGAGCCGGGCCGGCGAGAGCGATGGCGGTGTGCGTGAAGTGTTCATTGGTGGTGTCAAGGGCGGCGCGCCTCATCAATCCTGTCAACCTAGCCTCGGCATGGGAAGTTTGGGTGGACCACACGCACGGAGCGGCAGCGTCCGTAGCGCGCCAAGGCAACCGATGCCCGACACAGTGGAACTCGAGAGGCGTTTCACAAAAGTCCTGGTGAGTTCCCGACACTTTTTGCTCGACTCGTTCCCGTCAGATTCACGTAGCCCCTAACGCGTAGATCCGGCATGCCCCCATGGATTAGACGTGCCGTTTTGCTTAAGACAAACCGTTCTTTGATATGTACCGAGACAAAATCGGGGAACTGTCAGTGCCACGGGATGGGATTGGTTTCCTAGAATCGAACATCAATGCCGCCGAATTCGTTCGCTGTTTTAAGGTCCGTTTCTAGTTAATTATGCTATTAGAGGAAACGACTGTCGGCGAAGGTTCGCGCGACAATTCTTGGAAGACTGCGTTTATTTTTCTTTCGCGTATCGAGGCAGTGTTTTCTTTTCTCCGTTAAAATATACCGATCGTCGTTTCGAAGAAATATAGACATATGCTTAGATAGAAACCATTCGCAACGACGCACGCGAATGTATTATAAAAACTAATAGATAGGGTATTTATTTATTTGCTGTGGTCGACCGTAAGTCACGTGGCGCATCGTCTTTTGGACGATTCAGTTTACGTTATTGGGACTTTGATATTCATTTTGTTAATGCATCGACGCACGACTAACGAAAATGATCGTGATGAAAATAACAGAGAGCAACGATTCCCATCGATCTTGCGGTCAGAATTGAAAATATACACTACGACGGTGTGTTTGACGTGTCTTGCACTTTCACGTACGTAACGTAACTGCAAGGGAGCATATTTATCTTGAATACCCTGAAGGTATAATGTAAGTAACAAGCTGATCAGTATCAACACATGTGGTCCGTATCTTATAGCTACTAATACCTGTACCCGAGTGAACTCACGATAGAGGTTCTCTGTTATATCGATATCTGTATCGCAGTTAAACTTGAATGAAAATATAAAGGAAATAGTTCCTGGTAATCGATATGCATATGGCTATTATTTCCGATGTTCTTTTTATAAGACACATTAGGAAATAAAAATTTCCAGACGTAAAATAAATCGTTTCGAATAAAAGATTACAGAATTTCGGTTAAACGAATGTGCTATAATTTTTTAGGGTATTTTACGTATCTTCGTCGGAGGCCAACGACCGCTCGAGGGTCAGTAATTTTTTTCCTCAGGATGAAATGTCGAGAGGTCGAAAGCGAGAACCCATGCAGTGCCAAAGAGAGAGACAGGGAACGAGAAAGAGTAGAAAAGTGTACGCCTACGTAGAGGCCTCTCTCACCAAATAAGATTCGATTGCGCATCGAAACGACCATCGCTGTAACTACGAACATATCGTAAACAAAGAGACCCCTTTACGGCTCGCATTAACTTGCAGTCATTCGATTCGCTATCTCTGTTGCTTTTGCTCTCTGTCTTTCATCTGGCGGAACTTTTAACCTCTGAGCGATCTTGTTAACATCGATAATTTCGACGATTCCGATATCATGAATGTGAACCATTGTGCTTATCACGAGCCACCGTTGGCCAGAGACGAGCAAAATTTCATTCGAATAATAAATAACCAATAAAACCAACGAATAACAATTTATTCGTGACGTTTATTCGATCGAAATTTTTGTTCTCGAATCTTTTAGTGTTTATTTGGTCTTTGGACCAATAAGACAGCCATTGGAAAATTAAAAAAAAAAATAATTTAAGGTTATGTTTGAAGACTGAAATTAAACATAAAAAATATTTGAAAGAAAAGGATCTGAACACATAGTTAATGGCTGCTTTAGCCAGTGACAATTCCAAAAATAATATAAAACTGTTTTGTTAAGAATACTGTTCATTTGTTCAGTATTGGTTTGGGGAAAATGAACCGCATTAGTACCTATATTTTATACAATTGTTTTTAATCTAATAAGGTAGATTATGTCTGAAAGTATAATGGTTTAACTTTTGAATGGCAAATCGCGAACGTTTAAAGGCAGATTTATGCTATACATCAGGTAACTCGTCCGTTGTAACGTTCTTCAAGGAGAGTTTTACACGGAGGTATTCATACTGTCCATCACCATCTCGTCTGGCGGTCCCATTGAAGAATATCTTGATGAACGGTTGCCTGATGGATACTGCGAATTCGCCTCGAGGCTTTGGCCACTTGTAACCAATACGAAATTTGCTTATCAAAAGGTTTCAAATTAATTTTTTTTTAGTGCTAAATTTTTCTTCGACGTTTTACCAATGTTTCTCTTTCTTGTAGATTATCAAATTACGTTCATACATAAGAAACAGAGGCAATCTTGCTTACATTAAAGCAGTAAATAATTTGATACAGTGCAACAGTTATTTCTGCTTGTATTTTTACACACGTTTGACCTAAAGGCGCGGCTAACTGTTGTTGCGTTACACTTGACGCTCGATAGCAAAGTATGTATAGTGCATCGTTGTAAGTAGCTTCGTAAATCATACTTCTATGGGTGTGTGTAATGAAGAATGAAATTAACCGCTAGAAACAATACAGTCACGAGTTGAAATTAATATTCGCATGCCGATTCGTTTATAACAGTTTCGTTTAACGTTTAGAATTAATTAAATTGCTTTTGATAATAGTCAAAACTCGATGGCACAGTTTCTTCTGATGACTTATCAGCACCCTCTTCAGCGTGATAATTCTTGGACATGGACACTGATTACAAATGTTATCACACATCATGTTCCTGTGCCAGAAAGGGGTGTTCCTTAAATAAACGCGTAATCACAGTTATTTTAGTAGCTCACAATCAACCAACCGGAAGACCGTTAATTTTCGTGTGAAGCGCGTGACTAAAGATACTAATTAAAATTAAATGATTATTGGTTCAAGGAATCTTTCACATAACACTTAATTTTCTAGACCTTTTGATAAAAATATTTTCTACAAAACTTTTATAATAACACATGAATATACAGATTATAGATTGAAATATTAATTACCACATTTCAAAATTTTTTATAAGCTGTAGTGCAAGAAGCATAAATGCGTTGTATACTTTTAATATAGAATATTCCATATTTTGCAAATATTAAAATACGCGATACTTTAATAATGTTTTCGTAGTTTGGAGGTCTCTCTAGAAACAATCGTGGGATTTTGTTTCATTATAGATGCCTGTCGATGAGTCATGGGTAAGTTAGTCGTGTATCGTGTAGAAACCACGGTTTGACTCACGTGATCGTTCCAGGGCCATGCTAGTTTTTTTTCTGATTGTGTCTCCATTTATACGGGGCGAACAAAATACCTTTGTTACCTTAATCATCTCTGATATTACTAGACCAATTATCATTTATTTCGTTCAATACTTTTGTTCATAGCGATATGCAAGCTAATTATGAAGAAATATTTTACAAGAAACTGAATAGAATGTTGGAAATTTTAAATAAGATTCTTCTTACATTTTTTTAATTATTATATATTATTTTCTAGAAAACAATGTTTTGCATAAGGAATCTAGAAAAGTGAACGAGTATGTAAATTTTTTAAAATAAGTATATAATATTTCGATGAGGAATATATATACTTTTGGTAGTTATTATTTGGGATACTTCGACTCGTTTCTGTTATACGGATTTGTTCAGCAACTAGCTTCGAGTTAGCAAAGTGAAAGGGAAATTAACTATCATAACGTACAAATTGCTACACTTTAATTTTTTAGTCGTCTTTTTACCTTGCCTCTGGTCTAACCGTGTTATTCTACCAGAAAAGCAAAACCATCCTACAAAAATACAGCTTTGCGTTTAACTAATTGTAATAAATAATGGATTATTCGATATTCCTA